CATAAATACAGTTGACAGTTATTCCTTTCGAGTACAATATTAAAAGCACTCGGTTTTGGGTCCCCCAAAAAAACACTATTCAGGGTTTTTTTCATAACATGCCAGTCTCTTGCATTTTTTTGTGGGGTTTAGTTCAGTCAGAGCTTGCACTATCATTTCTATGCATTTGTTTGGTATATAAATCTAATTTTGCTAAATCGGATGATTACCAAGTCCATCAGATTGTCTTACATCGTCCAGGTCACCAGTCATCTATCGAAAACATAAAGCGATCTGATGAGCTTGGTAATTACCAGACTTAGCAAAATTATATTTATTTTTGCAGGGATATACCAAAATAAATACATAGAAATGAGAGTACGATCTCTAACTGAACTAAACCCCACAAAAAAATGCAAGAGACTGTCATGTTATGAAAAAAACCCTGAATAGTTTTTTTGGGGGGACCGAAAAACGAGTGCTTTTAATATTGTACTCGAAAGAAATAACTGTCAACTGTATTTATGAAGTGTATCCGTACCAAAAAAATTTTTACAGTGGTACCTATCATTTGAAAAAAAAATTAGATAATCATGTTTAATAAATAGTCGAGCTATTCGAATTTACTTTTTCGGCGGACTTTTGGGACACTCTGCATTTTGTTTAAATAAGTATTTTTTTTTCATTTAGATTTCTCTCATTGAAATATTTAACAGTAAGTATTTTATTTAAAAAAATATATTTATTCTTTTTTATTTAGATTTATCTCAATGAAATATACATTTGAAAGTATTTTATTTAAACAAATAAATATTGTTTCTTGTGTCTACGGAAGGTGAAGAGGAGACGAAATGTCGTGCTCCTCTTCACTGAGGACAGGTGGTAAAAGATAAATAAAGTCGTAAACGAGAAAAAATGGTGTAAATAAAACACTGTACGGCAAGAATACTATCATAATACTACTCATCGTTTCTCACCGACAATGACTTTAAACGGCGTCGTTTACGTTCCAAGGGAAAACGGCCCGTAATTCGAGCTGACGGAAAACGGTCAAAAACTGCGGTCGTTTTTCATCGTTTAGGCAGTTTAAGACGTCGTTTCAGACGGTCGGCATGATCGACCTGGTATAAATTAGAATTTTCGTGTTTATTCGTAAACAAAGGTGCGCAAATGTTTTATCGTTGACCCAATCATTGAGTGTCAAAGTTAGAAACGTTTTTTAATGTTCATGAAATAAATATTTTTCAATTTCTTTTAATTTTGGCATTGAATTAACAATTAAAAAACAAAGACAATAAGAAAAATAGAAATGTCTGCTGAATCTGGATTGATACCAATATTGCTGTTTGCAATACTCGTCTGAGAACTAACTTTTTCTTTGCAAAAATTGCTCAAGAATAGGTATAGCACATCACGATATGACTTTTCTCTATCTATATGCTTCACAAGCATGCCAAAACGACGAAAGAATTTCTAGTATGGTTCGACATCAAGTAAAGGCGATTATAAGGTACATGTTGATTTTTTACCAAAAAACAGAATATATATAGACTTACAGAGGAAGACTTTGTCGATCCAGCAGTATATATACTATCAAGTTCTACTGCGTACCGCTGATGTCGATAAATGGCGCCACATTTGCTACCTTATACTTTACAATACATAGAATGTAGCGCCATCTATCGACACCAGCGGTACACGGCAGAACTTGATAGTAGATATACTACACTCTAAAAAAAAATAGGTATATTACTGAACTTTATAAGTTCCGCATTTTTATACCTGTTACAGTCATATGTTATATTCCTTGACTCATCTCGTTCTTATCAATATTTGTTTATTCAAGTCGCATTCCTTGATGCTGTATTTTCTCTTATATAATGCTCTCTCTCTTCTCTCACTTGAGTCAGTGATAGTTGTTAATTCTAAATAAAACGAACATGGAGATGGAAAGGGGATATTCTAATATTTGGTGCCGTGACCCGCCTTCTTTCGATCATTTTTTTCGCATCATCGTTCAACTAATCCCGTATTGTGCTCCCTTCAACTTCATTCATTATATTAGTACCGGGTGGGAAATAATATTTTGCAAGGGGGGTACCGCTATAGTTTCAAATAGAAGACATAATGAATTTTATATCAGATGAAAGCTTGTCAAAAATGGGGTTTATTGATACTAAATAGTAAGGATTATGAGCACTTTTTAATATCGAACTTAAGAAGCTTTGAGAAATTTTATACTTTTTGTGGTGGAAAAGTAAAGTGCCAGTAATTGAAAAAAGAATTAAAACGTTTTTCTTGGATATTTTTAGATTGGTCGATAGAGCGCGTCGAGCTCTACAAAGCTGTATATATTAAAATTTTTTTGAGTCTTTTTCTTTTGATAAAAATTTCAAAAAACTATTTGAAAAATGTTAAAAAATGTTAAAAAAGTCATATTTTTGATATGGAAGAAAAACACTCGAATTTTCAATAAAATTTCCTTTTTTCTGATTATTTTTATTTCCTCAGATGTTTCGAAATATATTCATTCGATGCAGTTTTTCACGCTGCATCGAATGAGTATATTTTCAAACATTTTACATAAGGATACTAATGAAAAACAGCTGAATTTAGTGTAAAAAGGACCACTTTTTTTCTCTATAAAAAGTGTAAAAAATGAGGATTTTTCGGTACATTCTTTAGACAGTTTTCAGTGAATTTTAACCCAACAACTCTGTTTGAAAATTTTTTAGTATATACAGTTTTGTAGAGCTCGACGAGCTCTATCGACCCATGTAAAAATATCCAAGAAAAACATTTTAATTCTTTTTTCAATTACTGGCACTTTAGTTTTCCACCGCAAAAAAAGTATAAAATTTCTCGAAGCTTCTTAAGTTCGATATTAAAAAGTGTTCATAATCCTTACTATTTAGTATCGATAAACCCCATTTTTGACAAGCTTTCATTTGATATAAAATTCATTATGTCTTCTATTTGAAACTATAGCGGTACCCCCCTTGCAAAATATTATTTCCCACCCTGTACATGAATTCATATGTAATGAAGGTGGTCTTAATATAAATACAAAAATTTTTAGCAACTTCCTTTTTTTTTGCTTATGAGTAATTACGTCTCGTTTTTAGAGATGGTCGATATTAATATAAGAGGCTATTTGTGTAGTTGATTAATCCTAAGAGAAAAAAAATGGATATGAAGAATTATAGTCTATGGTTTTCTACGTGTCTACAATCGACAACTGTTATCAGTGGTTACACATTTTCTTAGGCGTTGATATGTATAGATAGCTTGATGAAATTTTACAAAATAGCATGTCTGTTATTGAATGAGTTACTCGAGACATTTAGAATCAATTTTGAATGTTTTAGGAGAGGTAAGATTTAATTCACATATCTTATTTTTCTAATACGGCTACTGTTACTAAGCAAAGTTCAATCTCTATGAATCATTTTAGAAAATGTTGATGTTTATCTCTTAAGAAGATTTACTCCATAAATTCTCTTAATTGATATCGATCCCTTTTTGCTGTAGTTGCTAAATTCGATTTGACATATCTTCTAGCTCTTATGTCTTCTATTATCAGAATTACGACAAAAATTATTTTATATAAGCCATGATCTATCACCATAGATGGATGTTCAATAAGATTTTTGGATTTGCACGAAATCGATTCCATCTTGCCAAGCATACTATTTTACATATAGAACCAACATTTGCTAGAACGATAGTAGAAAAATTACTTTCTAAGGAGGATAGGTTGGAGCTGCACTGGAGAGTCTCTGGTAGAATTTTCAGTCCTATACCTTGACATTTTCGGGAAATATTCAACAAAGAATGGTTTAAAATAATTCATTCATACAAAATTCTCTGTGAACTTTCATTTTAAATATTTTGTTGTTTTTTGCTTGAGAGAGCATGTCAGAATGTAGAACATAACGGAGTCATTCACTTTAAATTCTTACTTTTAGGTGGAGAAAATTTCAATGTTCAAAAATACTCAACAAATGGTCTTCTAACTATTAAAGTACTTTGCGTATACAAAAATAATAAAGCTTCAATTAAAAATGCGATTTCGTCATTTCCTGCATCTTGACATGCTTTTTCAAACATAAAAGAAAACTAATTATGTATAGCATGGTGCTCACAGAGCACTCTGGCTTACGTCATCAGAAAAGTATAAACAGAAAAAGAAGTAAAAAAGAAACATATTTTGCAAGCAGAAAAACATGACGCAGAAAGCATTGCAAATTTTTGCATTAGATGTTGCCGTCTCAATGTCGATTTTGCTGACGAAAATTGACTTTTTATGAGAGATGCTTAAACAGACTTTCTTGTAAAATATTGATGAAATACTGCTCAAACCTTCGTTTCACATACTAAGAAGTTAATGGCTACTTCACAGCGTGCAAATACAAGTTTGAGATGTCTGATTGAGTTGAGTCTATTATGACGTGCGTAGAGTGGCTCATAAAAGAATATTATTGAATAAATCAATAATCAAATGAGATTTTTATTAGCTTTCTTCTAACTATATTACATTTTGGAAAATATATGAACTTGATGGATTATCTATTTGAATACGCTTACAGGATTTATTGCATAAATAGATGCACTGTTTTTTTTTTCTTCTCAAGTATTCCTAATATTTACATTTAATTAAAAAATAACTTTTAAATATTTTAATACAAGAATTATTCGTTAATTTTTAAGTTTATATGTATGATGTAGTTTCATTGAAAGAAAAAGAAAATTATTCAACAAAATATGCATCTATAACTCAATAGTCTGTCAATTTTTCCAATGTTTTCATCAGTCATCTTTTTCTTGTTCTTTATAATTATTAGAGAGTCTTAATGCATTATGTCTCTTGTCATCCTTTTTTTTCTTTTCTGTCATGAAAATCTTTAATATCTAATGACCTAGTCACATTGAATAGATTGACATAAAATAGAAAGAGAATTAGAAATCTAGCATATATATATATATAAATATATTGTTTGGAATGAAATAAAAGCATATTAATGAATGAAAATATTTATACTCAATTAAGTCGTTATACACAACCAATATTAATTTTATTTGGCACAATTGGTGCTTTATTAAATCAAATATTATTTAATCGTAGAAAATTAATAAGAACAGCTTCATGTACAGTTTATTGGCGAGTTTTATCATTAAATGATCTTCTTGTATTGTATATTATTGTATTAACACAATGGTTTAATGATCAATTTCATATTGATCCAAGTATTAATTATTTATGGTATTGTAAAATTCGAACATATGCGATCTATTGTCTATATGCTATATCACCTTATTGTATTGTTTTGGTTTGTATTGATCGTTTATGTCGAACATCGAAATATAGTTCTTTACGAAATATTGCTACTCCATGTAAAGCTCGTAAAATAATACTAATAACGATTATTATAATATTTCTTGTTTATTTTCATATTCCATTGCAATTTACTATACATCATTCAATATGTTATCCTTTAAAATTTTCTTATTATCGTTTTCTTGGCTATTTTCTTTTCTTTTTCTATTGTCTTTTACCACCTATATTAATGTCGATATTTTCCAGTTGGACATTAATACTATTACATCGTCATCGTCAAAAACAAGAAAAAAAATATCAATTAAAAATAATATTATCACATAAACGTCGTTATAATCGTGATTATCAACTACTAAAAATACTTTTTCTTTATGTTGCAACAAATATTATTTGTACATTACCATTTTCTATTCTCATATTACTTGATGTTCATCAACATCATTCTGGTCATCAATTAATTTTATTTATTAAATGTTCTGTACTTCTTTGTAATTTAAATCATTGTACAAGTTTTTATATTTATACATTAGGAACTCCATTATATCGTCATGAATTATTACATTTAATTAAATCTTTTCACAGACGTTTTGTTTTATGGTTTGATTCATTTCATTAAAAAAAAAATAATAAAAACTCGAATTACTTATATTTATGCAAAAATGGAGAATACATCAATTTTTAATATTTCTCTTTGTAGTTCAGAAAGTAGTTTTTTTCTTCTGTCGGTACATATCTATTTGTATGAATTCATTAGTCATTCTTATTATAATAAGAATAAATGATAGACAATAAAAAGTAACTGTGTAACTTGATCTGTAAAATAAATCAAATTTTTTAAGAAAAAAAACAAAATGTTTTCAATCGATAAAAGTAAAAGAGAAAATTTTATCTTCATTATAATTTCTTTAGATGATTTAATGCTTTCTATTTGTTTTCAAGAAACTTAATTAATTTCAAAACTATTCACAAGAAACTCGTATTTTTAACATGCCTGATCATAACAGAGAAATAAAACTACGTCATTTTCTTTGCCTTGATAATTTAAGTGGATATATCGTATGCGTGTATTTCTATCATTATCTGCATTCGCAGGTGACAAGGTCTATATGTTTGTTTCCGTCATTATACTCACTTATAGGTGATAAGTGGTATGTGTGTATTTTCGCCCCCAATCTCATCTATAATCATAACATCCATATTGAATAAATTTCGACAAAAATTTATTTTATTTCCTAGAAATCAATAGAGAATGTCGCATAATAACTGACGATAAGTTATCAATGATATTTTCATATTTTTTCTTGACGTAGGAGATTGAAATTTTTTAAATCCATATATATCTAACCAAGATCTTTAATTTTTTCAAACTTTCAACTCTCAAGCTAAAGCTAGTGCTGAAATCCATGGACAAGATTAACATACGTGAATTGCCGTATTAGACTTTTGTAAGGTGCTAGGAATTTAAAACTTTAGAAAACTTTTGTTTTCCATTTATGTAGTGAGTTATTGCATAGAACGCATCGATTTGCCTATGAAGAAAAGACAAAATTCTAAAAATCATGATTAGAGTCGTTCATTATCATAGATACAGAAATATTTTATTTTATTTTACTCTTTGTCGAATATTATCAGGATCGTTTCTTGATTTTGCAAACGAAATTGACTAAAAAAGCTTATGAAATAAGCTTTTTGTTTTGGTCAATTCTGTCTACAGAATCAAGAAATAAACTCTTATAATGTTCTATAAAGTGAAAATAATGAAATAAAATATTTTCATATTTGTGATAATGGTCAACTCTAATC